AAAAAAAAAAAAAAATCGTGATTCCGAATGTTTACAGTAATAACTGAAGCTACAACAGGAAACGGGAGCCTGTGTGATACAAAGTCATTGATGTTCGATCTTTAAAGATTTACAAATTAATATTCCTACGTCTTCTTTTTATGTGTGGTAACACGATAGTACTTGATTTTTTTTTAATGCATTAAAAACCGTTTTACTATTTTCAATGCTTACCTTATATATTCATGACCATTATAATTCAATTTCTTCATCTGCTAATGACGGGCTACATCTGACGTTCAGTGTTGAATTATTTTGTTAATGCGCGTGCGTTGAAGCAGCTGGACGTCGCTACGGCGAGCCAAGAATGCGAGAAATTTGGCGCCCGTCGCCGCACCACAACCCGCCCCTCGACCGCCCTTCACGGGGCAGAACGTGATTTATACTACAACTTAAGTCGGCTCAACCCTGCTGAAGTAGTTGTACAAACGAGCGTGGTTGTTGAACAAATACCTGGCTTGTGAGTGAGTCTCTTAACATCCTGTTCCCCAACGTGAAGCCTGCTACAGGGTGGGTCGAGAAAACGGTGGGCTGAAACAACGATTGAAATGTGTGTGCTGCACTTTCCAGTGTTGATATTGGACAAGAAGTTGCGTAACGATTGCTTGTTTTCATAGTGACACAACTGTGGGAATGTTACTCGAATTAACAGATCCCCACGTCTGCTTCTTACATCTGTAATCCCGTATCCTAGCGTTCAACATCCGCCAGAATACAGAGTACCGTTCATTTTTAGTCTGGCGGAAGGTTTTACATGAGACGTCTGAAGAGATGTTCTATACAGAACTAGTTCGTAGAATTTGACGATTTTGAAATGGACACAAGTACAATAACACGATAAATGAAAGTTCTAAATATTCTTCCTTTGAGATTTTTTTTTTCAAATTATACACACATTTAAAACAATCTTCTCAGTAAGCAAACCATTAGTTTTATTTGTACCCTGCCGTTATCCAAATACACTTGTAAATAAATAATAAAACTTGAGTTTTAAATTAATTATTATCGATTCAGTTTACTTGGAAAGAAGAAGAAATTGGACCAATTGAATCCAAAATGTAGGACTTTATCACCCAATCTTGTATTATTATTTGCTGTCGAGTTTTAAATATTTTTTTATTTCTACATTCTCTCTGTTGGATTTTTTTCTCTCTCCCATTTTTATCTTGGCTTCTTGTCATTTATACTTTTCGTTTTTTTGTTTGCTTACGAGTCTTCCACGTTCGTACTTTTCACCACTTGCTATTTACTTTATCATTCCCCTTCATTATTGACTTTGTCTTCCAGCTATCATTGGATTTTAGTTGTTACGTTTTAATTCGTTTTTTTTTCCCGTCTTCTTTCCATTTTCCTATTTTATCTTTTCATTAATCTTTAATTCCCGTTTATTATTGCTGTCTCCTCTTTCTTTTCTTTTTTTCTCGCCATTTGGTTTTACACCCACCCCCCCCCCCCGTTTCTCTTCTATGTCTCAATTCCTTTTTTTTTTGGTATTTTATCTTTTCTCTCCGATCTTTTGCTTACTTTTGTGCCGCCTTATATATATTTTGTATGGTGTTTATTTTACATATTGTTATCTAACGAATTCTTTTAACAGTTTTGTCACAAGCAATGAGCTAAAAAACATCATTGCCTTTGACCTGATTTTTTTTTGACAGATCAAAACTATGCCCAATAAAGACCACCAGTGATCTACCTCGAGGGCTGACGGGAAAGGCGGACCTGGTCGGCTCCAAGTAGCCGCCGCCTATATGAAGTTACACACCTAGTTGTGTCTTTACCAAACACGTATGGAAGTATTAACACGCGGTGTATTTCATTGGTTAATAAGTGGCAAAGAGACCTGGGCGTTTAGGCCTTTGAATGAGCCTGCAATCAGTCCTCCTGGTGGCCTTTAACACAAATGATACGTGTCTGTCTATGTGGGGGTAATCAAAACTGCATAGGAGAAAAAAAAAATGAAAAGAACGTCAGCATTTAAGCTATACTCGTTTACCTGAACGGCTACATAAAATAACACTTGAGCTATTTATTATCGCCTTCAAGTGAAACGAGGAATCGTTAGATTGAACGGTGTGCATGGCTATTTTTCATCTATACAAGAGGATCTTTGTAGAAGGCAATATCTAAACCCCGCAAGGCCGTCCTTTTCAAATTATAACATACATAAAAAAGCGCATTATAAAGATGTAGCCCTCAGGGAAAAGGAAGTTTTTTTTGTTTTTTTTTTGGCTTGCGATATTCAGGGTGGAGTATTAATATTCGATATTTTCGTTATCATTTACTAAAGTATCGAATTTCTGGTAAGTATACATGATGTGCGTGTTAAGGAATACTTGTATAAAATCGTCAAGTAGGGCGAACGGGTAAGATGAATTTATTTGGTCACAAACATGAGGTTAACTCGGTCAGGACAGTTCGAGGTTCATAACTCAGTCATGACTTACTGTTTGAAAGACTTTATTATTTTGCTTGTTTCAGTTGTTTTGCGCAAAGCAACAAAAAAGTCTATCTGCGCATAGCCGTCGCTAGTTCTGAGCTCGTAGACTAGAAGGAAGGCAGCACCCACCGCCTACTCTTCGTTGACTGTCGCTGTTCTAGCACAAGTTTCATAAGTGCACGACGAGATTTTACAAGAACGGGACGCGAACCATCAAGCCTAGGGCTCGCAACTACTTCGCCACGCTCGGACCCAAACGTATTTAAACATAATTCAGGGGTACTTCAAAACTCGCGGACAAGTTGAACAAAATGGAAAAAGGAATGAGGAAAAACTAAGTATAAATTTGATACGGGAGTCGTTGATAAACGGAGATTAATTAAAAGAACGTTCTTAAAGTGTTGAGAACAGTTCGGTAGATTAAAAATAGAAAAGAAATTCCCACATCACATGTGATGATCTTCGTCGGACTTAATATGTATCACAGTTCTTGAATCCTTAACACATATTTCTCCTTACAAAATGTTATAAACGTCAGTTGTATTTCTATTTAATTAAGTTTTCCGAGTATCACATTCAAAGTTCTCTCGGGTTACACAATCAAATTGTTCTACGTTTTCTTCATTCCCAATATTTGATCCTGACCGTACACTTCCAAGATTGTTGGTATACTAGTTTACTCGTTGGGTAAATCGAACAAATACACCAAGTGTAATAAATTAGCACCAATCGCTTTTTCTAGATATGACAGTCAGAAATTTCCCTTTGCTGGTAGACAGAGGGCGCCTCCAACATTTTTTAGGAACTTATGCCTAACTGTTTGAAAATTGTAAGGAAATCGGAACAGTGAATTATATTTCATTGTTATGTGGTGTTAAAATGTCAAAAGGTAATATGAATATTTCATCAGACGCTTTGGGCTTTTAGGCTAAATCTATTAAATATTATTATTATTATTTTGTATATCATACTAGCTTACAGTTTATTTGTAGTTAAGCACAAAGCTATACAATGGGCTATCTGTGCTCTGCCCGCCACATGTATCGAAACCCGGTTCCTAGCATTGTAAGTCCGCCTAACGTACAGTAATGAGTGTAATACGCCAATTTCAACATTTCCAAAACTGGTATCTGCAAGCTTTACAGACTTTAAATTAACGGGTATCTGCAAGCTTTACAGACTTTAAATTAACGGGTATCTGCAAGCTTTACAGACTTTAAATTAACGGTATCTGCAAGCTTTACAGACTTTAAATTAACTGGTATATGCAAGCTTTACAGACTTTAAATTAACTGGTATATGCAAGCTTTACAGACTTTAAATTAACTGGTATATGCAAGCTTTACAGACTTTAAATTAACTGGTATCTGCAAGCTTTACAGACTATAAATTAGCTGGTATCTGCAAGCCTTACAGACTATAAATTAGCTGGTATCTGCAAGCTTTACAGACTTTAAATTAACTGTTATCTGCAAGCTTTACAGACTTTAAATTAGCTGGTATCTGCAAGCCTTACATACTTTAAATTAACTGTTATCTGCAAGCCTTACATACTTTAAATTAACTGTTATCTGCAAGCCTTACATACTCTTAAATTAACTGTTATCTGCAAGCCTTACATACTCTTAAATTAACTGGTATCTGCAAGCTTTACAGACTTTAAATTAACTGGTATCTGCAAGTCTTCATACTTTAAATTAACTGGTATCTGCAAGCCTTACATACTTTTAAATTAACTGGTATCTGCAAGCCTTACAGACTTTTAAATTATCTGGTATCTGCAAGCCTTACAGACATTAAGTTTAATTGCAGCCAACTTCTTATCTTTCTTTTGAACTGTGGTTAGGTGGTGCTCGACTCATAATCTGAGGATCACGGGTTCGAATCCTCGTCATCGAACATGCTCGCCCTTTCAGCTGTGGGGTCAATCCTACTATTGGCGGTGTTGACTAGCTATCTTCCTTCTAGTTTTATCACTTTCAAATTAGGGACGGCTAGCGCAGATAACCCTCGAGTAGCTTTGCGATAAATTCAGAATAAATCATTCTTTTAAATTGACTTTTCTGTGATAAAATAATATATAGTCTTTGCTCTTAAGCATGGGTAAAAACTGAAGCAAAAAAAAAAAAACTTGTTTGCTCATCTGAATGTCACCTGATTCACCCAGAGAGAAGTTACATATGACAGCCGTCACTAATTTGAACTGCGAACCACAAGGAAGGCAACCATTCTGCAGTACCCGTCGCTTAAAGCGGTTTCTTATAACCAATTGTTAGGACTGATTGTCACTCTTATAACGCATCCACAGATGAAAGTGCCACGCTTGTTTGATAGCATCAACGTCTCGAACTAGACTTCTCCGATCTGATAATCAATCTAACCACTTTGCCCTGCAGACATAAAATAAAGGATGTAACGTGTATTTAAAATATTATTTCTAGAGTTTTATATATATAT